CCACTGTGTTCATCCAGCTCTACACCTTGTTATCTCTTGAAACATTAACTGTTTCCCTCTCAAGATACTGCAAGACCTGTAAAGTTTCTCCAGCACTTAACATTTTATTTCAGACCTTTAGCATCTGCAGTATTTTGCTTTTACTCCCATGTCCTTATAGATGTTCTTGAATTGATGACTGGAAGTAGTCACACAACAATTATTCCCTCCAAACCATGCAGCTGAGTTTCAACCCAAAATCTCCCCACCTTGGGCCTTGTGCAAGACAGCTTCTAAAAATTATAGTGGGAAGTATTACCACATTCTAATTTTCTCATCTTACCTTTGAGTCTGGTCTACAGTAGACCTGTTTACCATGTGTGAAGAAGTCAGTATGCTCCATTAATTCATTTCTCAGTTGTCTGAGTTCTTCATCTTTTTCTTCAAGGTTTCTTTTAAGTTCTTTTTGCTTTTGCTGGTAATCTTTTATCTGCTCTTCTAACTTACTATTTTCAGTTGTTAACTGTTCCTAGAAATATAAAACAATTAAAAGTAACAAAAACCTACACAATGTTGTGTCAGGACGTATTAAAACAACGAAGTACCTGGGTAAATCAGAATATTCATAGGTGGCTCAAAAATATAAAACAATCATCTGACCAAATACAATTTTATTTGGAGACTGCACAATTAATCCAATTTTATTCCATTGTCAGATTACTTCACATATGTTGCACAAAGAAGCACTGTATTGAATATATAGCTCATTACTGGTGGTTTATCATAGGTGTCAATGCACCATAAAAATCATAGCACACAGGCCTCATTAGATTTGCTGCATAGAAATAGAACTGGAACAAACAAAAACAGAAAATGCTGGAGAAACTCAGCTGGTCTGGCAGCATCCGTGGAGAGAAAGCAAAGTCCTGTGACCCTTCTTCAGAACTAGAAGCAGCTAGAGGAAAAGGTGACATTTATGCTGATGACAGAGGATGATGGGCGTAGAGGGGGTGGGGAGGAGTGGCAAGACAGACAGAGCGAGAGCGAGAGAGAGGTGGGGGGGAGGGAGGGGGTGAGGGGTGAGGGAGGGAGGGGTGAGAGAGAGAGCGGGCGAGAGAGCGTGCAAGACAGGCAGAGAGACAGAAAGATAGGCAGGCAAAGGGATTATTGATATGTGATCAGGGAAGAAATTAAGCTAGATAGGTGATGATGGGGACTATGAATAGTTGAAAATGAGTTGGCTGTACTGAAAGCAACCCATTTCAAAGCCAATATCTGGTATAGTGGGGTTGCTAATATACCAGGAAGCGGATGTTCATGCTCTGAGATTGTTTAACTTGATGTTGAGTTCTGAAGGCTGTAAGGTGCTGAAGCAGAAGATGAGATGTTATTCCTCCAGCTTGCACTGAGCTTTATTGGAGCACCGCAGCACATCTAAACTTCGGAGGGTCAGTGTGGACTCAATGGGCCAAATGGCCTGCCTCCACACTGGCAGGGAACTCGAAGCTTATGGTCATTTTTACCACTAGAACGCAGGTGTTCCGCAAAGCAGTCACCAAGTCTGTGTCTCCCCAGTAGAACTGGAAGTTGAAACAATGAAAATTTATACAAGATTGATCAACACTTTGACCAAACATGAAGCATGTGATAAAATAAAACATTGGATGATACAAGTTCAGTATCTACCCCTGTACTCTAACTGCTATCCAGATGCTAATTGGAGACTACATTTTCCATACTCTCTGCCTGCTCTACTTCTACTTATTAAGTCACAGAATATAGACTAGCATAATGGAACAGTCACCAAGTTACTCCGTTAGTGATATCTATCACACGAGCTGCCCTATTTATTAGTGTCAGTTACTGCTTAGACGATAGCACTATTGCATCTGATTCAGGATATTGTTTGATTAAGTCCCATTCTACAACTTCAACACAAAAACATGATAAGTTAAAGGCATGGACTGACACATGGAATTGCCAATACAAAGATGTGGTCAAGGGAGGGGCGGAACTGGCAACTCAACATTCTTGAGTACAGGATCTTCAGGACGGACAGGAAAGTGTGTAAATGAGGATGTTATGTTGCATTATTAATTAAGGAGCAGCTCCTGCAGTAAGGAGGGTTAATAATGTAGACAGAGTCTTCAAATAGGTCTTTGTGGGTACAGTTTAGGAATAAAAAGGGGTCAGTCACATTGATGGGAGTCTATTCTAGGCCCGCAAACAGAGTCAGCAGGAAATAGAGGGGAAGTTATGTAGACAATTTGCTGAGATGTGCAATAATAGGCCATTACAGTTTCAATTTCTCCAACATAAATTGGGATAATCAAAATTACGTCAACACACAGAGGGTCCAGCAAGGGACGGTGCAGTGTTTGAACCTAATTCTGGGACCAAAGCTGGACAGGTGGCAGTGGGAGAGCATTTTATTGACAACGACTGCGTGACAGTACAGTTTAAGCTTGTTATAGAAAAGGATAAAGATGATCTGCAGAAAAAGGATTTTGAGTATGGCGAAGGCAGATTTTATCAAAATAGGGTAGGATCTGGCCAAAACAGACTAGTAATAGCTACTTGTCAGAAAATGTACTGTAGAACAATGGGAGGGGCAGGGGCATCAAAAAAGAAAATGGGCAAAGTATAAGCCCAACAAGTTCACCTTAGGGTGAAACATAGGAGCATCCAGAGAATCCTGGATGTCTAGGAATATTCAGGACTGGATTAGAAAGAAAACAGAAGCTTTTAGCAGGTATTAGAGCAGCACGGTGGCTTAGTGGTTAGCACTGCTGCCTCACAGTGCTCGGGACCTAGTTTTGATTCCAACCTCAGGCAACTGTCTATGTGGAGTTTGCACGTTCTCACTTTGCCTGCGTGGGTCTCTGCTGGGTGCTCCGGTTTCCTCCTACAGTCTAAAGATGTACAGGTTAGGTCAGTTGGACTTGTAGAAGTGTCCAGGAATATGCAGGCTAGGTGAATTAGCCAAGGAAAATGCAGGGTTATGGGGATAGTTGGGGGATAGGTCTAGGTGGGATGCTCTTTTTTTTCCTTACTCATTCAAAGGATGAGGGAGTCGCTGGCCAGGCAGCATTTACTGACCAGAGGGCAGTTAAGAGTCAACCACATTGCTGTGGGTCTGGAGTCACATGTAGACCAGACCAGGTAAGGATGGCAGTTTCCTTCCCTGAAGGGCATTAGTGAACCAGATGTTTTTCCCAACAATTGAAATAGATTCACGGTCATCACTAGATCCTTAATTCCAGATATTTATTGAATTCAAATTTCACCATCTGCCATGGTGGGATTTGGACCCTGGTCCCCAGACCATTATCTGGGTCTCCGGATTAACGGTCCAGCGATGTTAACTTGATGCTGAGTTCTGAAGGCTGTAAGGTTCCGAAGCAGAAGATGAGATGTTATTCCTCCAGCTTGCACTGAGCTTTATTGGAGCACTGCAGCACATCTAAACTTCGGAGGGTCAGTGTAGACTCAATAGGCCAAATGGCCTGCTTCCACACTGTAGGGATTCTATGAAATCAACAGAGGCCCTGGTGGAGTATAGAAAGTGCAGGGGGATCTTAAGAAAGTAACTAGGAGAGGAAAGAGGCAGCATGAGAAAACAATGGAGGGCAAAATTAGGGAGAATCCCAAGATATTCTGCATGTATAACAGAAAGAGTATAACCAGGGAAAGAGAAGGGCCCATTACAGACCAATGGGGAATCTGTCCATTGAGTTGGAGGACACTCTTAAATGAGTACTTCACATCTGTCTTTACTCAGGAGCAGGACGACGTCGTACTGATTTCAGGAAGAGAGATGGTGAAGTTCTTGGGCAGATCGACATAGAGAGTAAGTAGATATTGGAGGTTTTGGCAGGCTCAAAAGGTAGAAAAATCCCTTTGTCCACAAGTTACATCCCAGGCTTCTGTAGGAAAGGAGGGGGAAACTTACAGGAGCTCAGACCCAAATTTTTAACTCCACTCTGGCCACAGGGTAGGTGCCAAATGACTGGAGGACAGCTAATGTGGTTCCACTTCTCAAGAAAGATGATAGAGATAAAGCAGAGAATTATAGACAAGGTAGTCTCACATTAGTGGTGGGAAAACTACTGAAGAAAATTCTGAAGGAGAGAATTCAACTCCATTTAGAAATACAAGATTTGATCGGGGGTAGTCAGCATGGCTTTGTCAAAACGAGGTCATGCATAATAAATTTGATTGAATTTTGAGAGCTGACCAGGTGTGTAAATGAGAGTAGTGCAGTTGAAGTAATTTATTTGGATTTCAGCAAAGCCTTTAACAAGGGCCTAAATGGGAGACTGATAGTAAAGGTAAAAGCTCATGGGATCCAGGGTACAGTGACAAGTTGGATCTAAAATTGACTTAGTGGTAGGAAACAAGAGGGTAGTGGTAAAAGCTGTTTGTGAGATTGGAGGCTGGTGTTCAGTGGCATACCACAGGAATCCGTTCTGGGTCCCTTATTGCTTATGATATATACAAACCGAATGGATGGGAATGATAAGTAAGGCTGCCGGTGATAAAAGATTTGCTGGGTAGCTGACAGTGAGGAAGTATGTATTAATTACAGGAGGAAACAGATGGATTGGTCAGACGGGCAGATTGAATTTAACCCTGAAAAGTGAGAGGTGATGCACTTTGGAAGAGGTAACAAGAGGAGTTATTCAAATAAATGGTGAGATATTAAGAAGCTTGGAGGAACAGGGGCATCTTGGGGTGCTTGCCCACAGAGCCCTGAAGGTGGCAGAACAAGTTAACAGTGTAGTTAACAAAGCATACAGGACGCTTGCCTTTATCGAGGCATAAATTCATAGAGAAGGAATGTTATGTTGCAGCTGTACAAAATTTTGGTTAGGCCACAACTGGAATACTGTGTACCGTTCTGGCTAATACCCTCCAAACCGAGCAAATATTTTCTATACCCTCACCAAAGCCTCCACGTCCTTTTGATAGTGTGGCTGCCAGAACTGTATGCAATATTTCAAATTTTGCAACTGTATAGGATTTTAGGTCACATGGCCTGCCAATTTTATACACTATGCCCTGACCGATGAAGGCAAGCATGCCATGCGCCTTCATGACCACCTTATCTACTTGTGTTGTCATTTTCAGGGAACTGTGAACTTGTATGCATAGATCTCTATTTAATGCTTGTCAAGGGTTCTGCCAATTACTGTATACTTTCCTCATGCATTAGACCTTCCAGAATGCAACACCACACATTTATCAGAATTCAATTCCATCTGCCATCTCTCCACCCAAGTCTCCAGCCTATCTACATTCTCCTGTATGGTTTGGCAATCCCCCTCATTATTAACAGCTCGCCCAATCTTTGGGCCGTTCACAAACTTATTTATCAGATGACCTTCCCTCCAAATCATTTACTTACAGTATTACAAACAACACGGACCCCAGCACTTATCTCTGCAGAACATCACTGGTCACAGATCTTCAGTCAGAAGAACAACCTTCCACCGCTAGTCTGTCTTCTAGGATCAAGGCAGTTCAGTGTCCATCTTACTAGCTCATCGCAGATCCCATGCGACTTTACCTTCTGTATCAGCCTGCCAAAAGGGACCTTGTCAAACGCCTTGCTGAAGTCCATGTAGACAATATCCACCACCCTATGGTCAATCATCTTTGTCACTTCCTCAAAACACTCAATCATGTTTGTGAGACATGACTTCAACCACACAAAGCCATGCTGTCTACTGCTATTGTCCATATTTTTCCACATGAGAGTAAATCCTGTCACTAACCACCTTCTCCAATTAATTTGCCTACCACTCATATAAGGCTTACTGGTCTGTTATTTCCCAGATTATCCCTGTTGCCCTTCTTAAACAAAGGAATAACGTTGGTTATTCTCCAGTCCTCCGGACCTCTCCTGTGACTAATGAACCAGACAATCCCGACAGTGTGGAAGCAGGCCATTCAGCCCATCGGGTCCACACCGACCCTCCAAAGAGCATCCCAGGCTATCCTTGTAGCCCTGTATTTCCCATGGCTAATCCACCTAGCCTGGACATCCCTGGACACTGTGGGCAATTTAGCATGGCCAACCCACCCAATCTGCACATCTTTGAACTGTGGGAGGAAACCTGAGCACTCGGAAGAAACCCACGCAGATATGGGGAGAATGTGCGAACACAATTAGACAGTCGCCTGAGGGTGGAATCGAACCCAGGTCGCTGGCGCTGTGAGGCAGCAATGCTAACCACTTAGCCACCGTGCTGCCATGGACAGGATACAAAGATTTTGTACAAGATTCCAGCAAATTCCTCCCTCTACTCCCCCAGTATTCTGAGATCGATCCAGTCAGGTCCTGGGACTTGTTTACCTTCATGCTTTTCAAAACACTCAACACCAACTCCTTTTTTATATCGACATATCCTAGTGTCAACATACCTGCGTCTAGAATCACCGTCCACCATATCCTTCTCCTTTGAGGATACCAATGCAAAAAGCTATTCCCAAAATAGTCCTCCACTGAAACCTTGATCACCTGACTGGGCTCATTCCTCGCTACCAGGTCTAGTATGGCCCCTTCCCTACTTGAGACTATTTACATATTGCTTCAAGAATTTGTTAGACATGTCCAGGGGGACACACAAACTCTGCCCCCATCCAAGCTCCTGGCACGAAGGGAGTCCCAATCAATATAGGGAAAGTTAAAATCACCCATCACAACTACCCTGTTGTTTTTACATTTTTCCATAATCTGTCCACATATTGGATGGGATGGTAATTGGATGGGTTGGACTTGTCCTGCTTTGTATGTACGTCGCATGCTTGGACAATTTTCCATCTTGTCAGTTCTATGCCAGTGTTGTGTGTAAAATAACGAAAAAATCTAAATTAAAGGTCGCAACTCTGAAGGAGGCTGCAGGAGCAGAGGGACTTGTGTGTATATCTGCCCGAGTCTTTGCAGGTAGCAGGACGGTTGAAAGACCAGCTGATAAAGTCTAGATGCTTAATTAACAGGAACAGAGGACCAAGGAAGAATGCTGTGTTGAATTTATATAGCACACTAGTGCTGGAGTACTGTGTCCAGCTTTGGGAATCATGCTTTACTACCGTTGCGAAGTTGGGTGGAATACCTATGAATTGGGAGGCAGGAGGTTAGAATTTGTTGGTAAAAATGGTAGTGGGGGAAAAAAAAAAGCAGTGTACGGTCCCTTTACAAAAAATTATGCTTTGCCTGTGCTTGGAAGTTGCACGTACTGTACAGACAGCCCCAAAATTGAAACAGGTGGATGAAAACTTACAGTTGGCAGGCAAAACAGCAGTTTTGTTTTGGTATCGAGATAATAAGTTTGAATTTAGCCAATTAATTTAAAACAAGCACCTAGATACAGAAAACCAATTGAATTTAAAACTGATGGTTTTGACAACCTGAAACCAATCACATCATAAAAAATTGATGTATCATCAGGAGGTATATAGGCCGAGGGTTTTTGAAAATTGGGGCGAGAGCCAAATGTCATTTGAGGGGAAAGCAAGCCCGCCATCTGACAAATAAGCCTCGAGCTCTCGCAAGAAATCGCTAAGCTCTCTAAGAAAGCACCATCTATCAGAAAAAGGTACCACAGCATTTTAGCTCAAAGTCTTCACTGAAGAAATTACAGAGAAAAACACCCCTGACAGCAGAATCAGTGGAAGAAAGGCGTTTGTGGTGTAACGGAGAAGGCAGAGCATTCCAAAAGACACAGTCTGTGTGAATTTGGAGAAATTAAGTTTTAATTTATTGTTGTCTTTTAATTAGATTTATATAAATGGGACTTGTATTTATTTGAACAGTGTCCCAGTAGAACGTAGGCCATTGAGGGAGTAAGTAGTCAGGGGTCGGGGGAGTTGTTCAGTTTGTTCGTAATTCTGTTTATTTGTTCACTGCTGGGTTAAATAAATAAATTGTTACTTGTTACTTATAAAGTGGATATTAGGAATTCTCTTTCATTTAACCACTCTTAACAGATTATAAAGATGAGGCGAGCATCTCTGGGTGTTTCATGTTTAATCATTAGAAGGGAACCGCTATTCCCCGCCGCAACAGATTGGGGCTTGTGTTTCAGTTTATCTTTCAGAGGGGTTCAACTTTCCCCTTCTCTATAACAGTTTGGGGGCTCAAGTCCAGGATCTGGCCAGTTTGTGTACGGGATATGAATGGATCTGGACAGATTTTAAACAGTCTTGGGGATTAGTGTTCTAGATCTTTAAAATAGAACTTATTGAGAAAAATCTGTTTAATTTCGGTTACTTGTGGTTGGTTAAATTAAAAGTGAGAGAAATGGCTCTTAACATCGCTAAAGAGTTTCTGGGGTTTGAGGATGCTTCCCAAATTTGCTAAGAAAGTTTCAAAAAACAGAGGAAAAATATACTTTTACAGTTAGCAAACAGGCTAGAATTGGGTTTGAAAATTTGGGTTTTCAGGAACTGAAAGTTACCCAAGTAAGAAGAGCCGTAGAGATGGCGAATGAATTTGTATTAGTGCATAAATCGAAATCTAGCTTCTGACAGCAATTCCATTCTGGGAGGGTTAGAAATTGAGAAAAAGAGAGCTCCTTCAATGAAAAACAAAAAGTAGATCACAATGGGAACAGTTTACCACAGGTGGAAAAAGAAACCCAAGAGGGTGAAAGGCCTCAGGTGTTTCCCATGTCAAAAGGTGGGACACACAAAGTCACTGTGCTGGTGTATTAACAGAGGCACTGGGAAAAAGGATGTGGTAAAAGAGGCTAAACCAGTGGGATTTGTTGAGGTAGTGAAGGAATTCCCAAAAGAAGTCAGGGAGCTGCAAGAGAGTGCACAGCCTAATCACGAGCTGAACAGTGAGATAGTGCCCGATCTCACAAAGACTTCACCTGTGTGGTGAAGGTTTACTCAGGAAGAACAGGGGGAGAAGGTAAAGAAGTTAAAATATTGAGAGATATGGGAGCTGAAAGTACTTGCACTCCTTCTGAAACGTTACCCAAGACAGTGGTAATCTGTGGGATAGATGGAAAGAGATTTAGCGATCCCCTGTTTAAGATCAGGTTGGAAAGTCCAATCAAGACTGGGGGAGTGAAAGTGGGAGTGATTGAAAGAGTGTCAATTCCAGGAATACAGTTTGTTCTTGGAAACAACCTACCAGGATCAAAGGTCAGAGTGATGCCTCTCCCAGTGGAGAAGCTGAAGGAGAACCAGGGAACTGAGGAGATGGAAGAAAACTACCTTGGAATTTTTCTGGACTGTGTGGTAACAAGATCCCAGAGTCTTAAGTTACAGCAAGAAGGAAAAAGCAAAGAGAAAGATGAGGGAGTTGAGATCCAGTTAGCTCACACCCTGTTTGATGAAATGGTAAAGGAAAAACCTGAATAGGGAGAAGATCAGGCAGAGATGTTTAGTCCTGAAAGATGACTGGAGTTACCACAAAAAGAAAGACGAGACAATAAAAGATCTATGTCATAAAGCCTGCTCGGAAAAGGAATCAGAATGTATTCCCGAGTGTTATTATCTCAAGGATAGAATCCTAAGACAAAATGGAAACCTTGGCAAGTTAGTGCAGAGGGGAAATGGGCAGAAGTGCACCAGATTGTGTTGCCAGTAGCATACAGACAGGAAGTATTACACGTAGTACATGAATTACCTGTAGGAGGTCATCTAGGAGTGAGGAGGACTAAGATACAAAAGCACTTCTATTGGCCTGGATTACATATGATGTGGTTGAATTTCATCATACCTGTCATACTTGTCAAATGGCAGAAAAGGCAGAGACAGCATGCGAGCGAGAGAGAAGGGGAACTACACTGAAACGCAGAGATGATGGTTTCCTTCAAGTAATTTGTAAATACAGATGAATATATTTTCACCTTGCAGTGTCTTTCTCTTTCTAATGCTACTTTCAATTCATCTGGTGAATCATATGTTACTGGATGTTGTGCCTCATTTCTTCTCACCTTCAGCAAGTCACTCTGTGGCCAGGGGTTCAGACACTGAGCTTGTCCAGGAATATTGCCTGCAAACAGTCCAGTACAAAAAAGGTTAATTCAAATGGTATCAATAATTTGTTGCTGGTAGTCAACTGGTTGCCTGACAATGAAGCACCAATGTTCTATCTGCTCCAATGAACAAATTATTTATTTCTAACTCAGGAATTCAATCTTCCCTCCAATTACAATGTTTCTCCCTCTCCAGAACAGCACTGAATTTGCAACACATCTTATGTGTCCAGAACCCCTGCAAAGGCACCATTAATCTTATCAGATGATGGCTTGTGCCATGATGGTTAACTCTGCACTGAGCATTGCCTGGTGAGTTTTGGGAAGCCCACTCTGGTATGGCAATCTCTGCTGCATTTGCTGCAAAGGAAGACACTGATCTGAAATGGATGTACCATTTGTTGTCCCCAAGCCCTCTTCACGAGCAGCTGGGAGCTTTATTTTTCTAACAGTCAGTCTTCAGAGTTCATAGCCACATGCAGCTGGCCCCCAATAGCCAGTGTCAACATCCAGCATTTACTATCTGGCTTGCAAGTGTCAATGTAGCAGAGGTATGGGCACCAAGAACATTGTGATCCAGTGGACAATTCACTGTACAGAACACTTTTAGGTACACAGCTATTATCCAATCAGTGAATTTAAACAAGCCAGCAGACACTGTTGACATAGCAATACTGGGTTTCCATTGATAGGGTTACTCTGCACAAACTAATGTTTGATTCAATATCCGTTGTGATAGGATGGACAGCTAACTAGATTTTGCTTTAAATCCTTTATAATTCTTTATTTCATACAGTTCCAGGATAAGGAACATCAGTTATGAAAACAGATTCGAAAAACTGAGGCTGTTCTTGGAAAAATTTGAAGAAAATTGATGGAAGCAATTAAAATCATAAGAACTCTGGGCACAACATCTTGGGGGAAAACTGCTGTCATTAGCAGAAGGGCCAAGAACCTGAGGACATCAATTTAAGGTGAATGGCAAAATAACTAAATGGTACATGAAGAACTTTTCAAATGCAGTGAATGGTTACCATCTGGAATGTTGCTGTCTGAATCTGGTCATCCAAGCTTTCAAAAGAATATTGGATAATTATCCAAAAAAGAAAAAGACAGAGCTACAAGGGAAAATGAGAGAGAATAGGACTAGCCAAGTTGTTCTTGAAGACAACTGGCAGAGACATGATGGCCCATAATGGCCTCCTAAGCTGTAACTCCAATGCTGTATAAATAAATGGTTACAGTGTGTACTAAGCAAATAAATATATGTTAGTCTTCCTCCAGCATGTCACCCACTAGACCAAACATCCAATTTCATCTCCATTCTCCAATCCAGTAAACTAGGCGAGAAATTCAAGTAGCAGTACAGCAGATTCCATGCAATAAAAAGACAAGACACTCCTCCCTTTACAGGGGGAGGTGACAGTGGCTAGAAAACCCAAAAATTAAGGTAATTGGAGGTTCTGCCAAATTTAGAAAAAGGTATCAGATCATGGGAGGAGAGGTCAGCCAATTGATAGGCTAAAGCAAGGGTGAGGACAACCAATCAGAGAGTGTCAGAAGCAGTGCCAGTCAGACAGTAATCTCTTGGACTTGGTCTTTCTCACCTCCTTCTCCTGTCAGTTTCACAGCTCTGGGAATAGCAGCATTAAATCTTAAACCCTGCCTAAATTTGAAGCTTATGGTTTCATTGAAATGCTTAAATAGTGGATATGCCTCTGGAAAACAGGTTTGTTGCTCATTCCACTCCATTCCAAACCTGCCTCAGCTCAAGCTGCTTGTGGTTGTGTTGGAGGTAGTTTTCTTGTCTGGAAAATTTTAACCAAACCCACTCACATCCGAGAGGTAACAATTCCACCACACCAATACAGTAATTAGCAAATAAAGTGAAATTTTCTGAAACATTTTGATAATAGAATAAAAATAAGGACACAAAAATAATGTTGATTTATTCCATCTCATAGAAGGAACTGTATCAAAATACAAAATTCATGTTGTAATTCATAAAACTGCGATAGCATTTCAGGGAGAGCAATATTTGTTCTCCTCAAAACTGGAAACACAACTAAAAGAGGAATGTTTCATTCCACCTGTATCCCAAATGTCGCAGCAAGAATTGAACTATAAATCTTGTGCCAAAAGCCAAGAAAGGAATTTTAGCAAGACCTGTTACAGTTAGTAACATTAAACAAAAACAGTTTCTTTTTTGGACAGGGACAGTGAGGAGAAACAAGAAAGAAGAAAACATATGTATCAATTAATAATAAGAACAGTGAAAGAAATGCATTGGAGAAACAATATTAATGCAAAGTTAAATATAAGACCAATTTAGAAACGATCTAATTGCCTTAAGTTGCAATAGAACAAGAGGAATAATTAAATGGCATTATTGGTTAAAAAGCATATCTAATGAGTTGTGTAAGCAATGTAGAGGGGAGGAAAGAATAAATACAGTAGTCATGGCTTACCTCTGGGGGTGGTAGAAGTAGACTGCAATTGTAATTTTGCAATGGTTTGATCTTTTGTTGCCAATTCTTGCTCTAAGTCATAAATCTGTATTTGAGCAAAAACAAAATGCATGCAAATTGTTAACAAATCTTTTTGTAAAATATTAATGTCATATATATTGTAAAACTGAGTTATGTTCATCACATTTCAAATGCTATACAATACAGAATGCAAAGTTCATACATGAAGTAAAAATAAACAAATATGATTATTTACAACATACAGGACATCTTTTTGAAAACAAACATTACCAGAAGCACAAATGTGCAGGCTACTAACTAATTTAGTACAAACCCAGACAGTTCTTCAACTTGAACAAAATTTAACCTTTGAATAATCTCACCCAAATATTATTTCTCAATTAGATTTTAAGATGGGTTTAGTTGAACAGTGATTATTTTACTCGATTACTCATAAAAAAGCATAAACAGACAACTGAGAGAATGAGACGAAATCCCACCATGGCAGTTTGAGAATTTGAATTCAGTTTTCTGGCATAAAGGGCTGTATTAATAAAATTGCCTCGAAGCTGCTGGAAATCTGAAGAAGGGTCTGTTTAGTTCTGACGAAGAGTCACTGAACCCCAAAACATTAACTCTGCTTTCTCTCGACAGATACTGCCAGCCCTGCTGAGTTTCCCTAGCAATTTCTGTTTTGGTTAGTCACTTGTATCATCTCGTTTTCAAGACAATTAATGATGGGTGTTACTACCAGTCTTACTAGCAATATCCATATCCTGATAGAGATGCTTTATTTTTAAAAAAACCTTAAACACTTTCTAAGCTAAATAGCCTTATAGCTACACATTACTGACATGATTATGTATTATATATTTTATCACTTATTTGATCCTCAGGAAAGCTGCACAACTTCTGATTTGAACATTGTAAGCAGTAATTGATGAAACCACTAAAAATTTTGCATATTGGAAAAGTTTGAATGATGATTGCATCACCACAACTATGTTTAATACTAATTCCCTTGATTTTCTTTTTATAAAATTTGATCTTGTTATTAGTTTTACTCAGTTCAGCTTGATTCAACCAATTTCCACATACATGATTTTTGGGGCTATGGTTTCTAAATTCTTTAAAATGCCCTTTTTTCATTTTTATCTTAAGAAAATTATTAAGAAACAAAGATAAATGTCTGACTAAGGAGGATGGAATCCTCTACTGTAATTCTTGAAGTCTAGTGAGAAACCACACTACTTACCTGTACCAACCAAGGCTTCAAACAAATATTGGCCATTACATCATCTTGCCCCTCAGTTATTCTCTCAAACCTTTCACATGCGGCACATGGCCCAATACAGTTTCTCATCATCTCCTACTGATGTATCTTGCCTATCACTGGTGCTTACTTTCTGCCCTATTTCATCTGTTTAAACATACTTTTTGAAGCTCAAGGTAAACAAAACAAAAGCTACATTAACAGTTGTGAAATCAGATTTGTTTCACACATGCCCCTAAAAGAAACAGTGATAAATATTTTCCAATGATCTAAACTACACAACTTTAAGTTTTTAATTTTAACCTCTTATAGCATTAAACATTTCATTATATTGAGAAAATGGCAGATGAGGAAAAAAAATCCCAAACAGAAGGATAGAAATAACACAGGAAGAATATTAGGGGATTTCAACTACTTCAATATTAATTAGGATAATCATAGTACAAAGGGTTTAAGAGAGGGCGGATTTTTTGAATTGTGTCCATGCAAGCTTTTTATGTCAACATGTAGATGGCCCTACAAGGGGCAGTGCAGTTGGACCCAATTCTGGGGAATGAAACTGGATAGGTGATCAAGATGACAGTGGAGAGACTGACCACAACATGTGGCACGGTGGCACTGTGGTTAGCAGACTGCCTCAAAGCAACAGCGACCTGGGTTCAATTCCAACCTTAGTGGCTGTCTATGTGGAGTTTGTGTGTTTGCATGGGTTCCCTCCGGGTGTTCGGTTTCCTCTCACAGTCCAAGGATGTGCATGTTAGGTGGATTGGCCATGCTAAAAATTGTCCTGTAATGTCCAGGCACATGAAAGTTAGGTGGATTAGCCCCTGGTAAAAACCCCATTTGGGTTTATGGGGATGGGGTGGGTCTGGGTGATTTGCTCTTGGAAGGTTGTTGCAGACTCGATGGGCCGAATGGATTCTATGATTCCATGAATACCATATATTTTAAATTTGTTATGGGAAAGGAGGAAGATGGTCTGCACAAAAGGGTTTTGGATTGAGGTAAGGAAGTTTTTGTTAGAATAAGGCAGAATCTTGCCAAATTAGACTGGGAACAGCCACTTGTGGGCAAATGTACAGCAGAACAGTGGGAAGTGTTCACAAAGATGATGGGTGGTGCTGGCGGAAGGTTGGGAGGGGGGCATGAAAAGTATTTGCCCAACATACAGGAACGACAAGCCCAGAGAACCACACGTCTAGGAATATTCAAGACTGGATAAAAAGGAAAAGGGAGAGGTGTACAACAGATATAAAAAGAACAAAACCATAGAGTTCCTAGGTCTATAGAAAGCGCAAGGCGAAATTCAAGAAATTAACTAGGAGGGCAAAAAGGGGGCATGAGGAAACACTAGAGGGCAAGATTAGAAAGAATCCCAAGATATTCTACAAGTATATTAAGGGGAGAGAGAATAACAAAGGTAAAAGTAGGGCAGAAAAAGGGTCACTGGACCAGAAACTTTAACTCTGCTTTCTGTCTGCTAGACCTGCAGAGATTTTCCAGCAGTTTGTTTTTGTTTCTCATTTCCAACATTTTGCAGTTCTTCGATTTATTTTAATGAGTATGGCCTTTTAGGGACCAAGGGGCAATCTCTGCATGAACCAAAGGACATTGTAGAGTGTTAAATGAGCACTTCACATTTGTCTTTACTCGGGAGGAGAAGGATGTAAATACAGAATTCAAGAAAATAGTCTGTAAAGTAATTGCACAGATTGATATATGCAGTGAGGAGGTATTAGAGGTTTTGGTGGACTTAAAAGTGGACGCATTGCCAGGTCCAGATAAGTTATATCCTCAGCTGTTACAGGAGACGAGTGAGGAAATTACTGGGACCCTGACCCAAATTTTTAAATCATGTCTGGCTGCAGAGGTGGTGGACAAATAATATGGTTACACTTTACAAGAGGGGTATTAGGGATAGACCAGGGAACTATGGATCAGTGTATCTAACGGTGGTTACCATAGTTAACCATAGTTAAAAATTGTGAAGAAGAAAATTAATGTCCATTTAGAAAGGCAAGGCTTGCTCAGGAATATTCAGCATGGCTTTGTCAGAGAGAGGTCATGCTCAACAAATCTGGTGAAATTTTGAGAGGTGGCGACAAAGTGTTTCGATGAAGGTAGGCAGCTGATGTAGTTTGTATGGGTTTCATCAGGCTTTGACAAGGTCCCACATGGGTATCTGATCAAAAAGGTAAAAGCTCATGGTCTCCAGGGTAACTTGGCAAGATGGATACAAAATTGGCTTAGTGACAGGAGACAGAGGGTGCAGGTAGAAGGCAGTTTGTGTGACTGGAGCCCAGTGTTCTGTAGTGTACTTAACGTATCAATGCTGGGTCCCTTATTATTTGAGACATTTATAAATATAATGTAGATAAGAACGTGGGAGGGATGATGAATAAGTTTGCAGATGACACAAAGACTGGCTGGATGATTGACAGTTAGGAAGAACGTGTTAGGTTACAGGAGGATACAGACAGATTGGTCAGATAAGCTGATTGACTGCAGATGGAAATTAGTCCTGATGCACTGTGGAAGTAGGAAAAAGACAAGGGAATACTCAAATGAATGGCAAGACACTAATAAGTTTAGAGGAGCAGAGGGATCGTGTGGTGCTTGTCCACAGATCCCTAAAGGTGGCAGAACAGTTTAATAAGGTAGTTAAGAATGCATATGGGACACTTGCCTTTATTAGTTGAAACATCGATTACAAAACTAGGGAGATAATACTGGAGCTGTACAGAACTTTGGTTAGGCCACAGCTGGAGTACTGTGTGCAGTCTGGTCACCACACAGTAGGAAGGAGACTGCACTGGAGACTGCAAAAGGAGATTCACCATGATGTTGCCTAAGATACAACAATTTAGCTATGAAGAGAGTTGGTAAGCTCAGGTTGTTATCTTTGAAGTAGAGAAGGTTGTGGGGGGGGAGGGGGGAGAAACCTGATATATGTACATAAGATAATGAGGATCAGGAACAGGGTGAATAGGAAGCAGCTGTTCCCCTTAGTTGAAGACTCAAGAAATACGGGACATAATTTTGAATTGAAAGGCAAGAGATTTGGGGAGTTTTAAGAAAATATATTTTCACCCAGAGAGTGGTGGGGGTTTGGAATGCACTGCCTGGGCCTAGTGTAGGCAGTAGTACATTTTTGGCAGTACAGACTTGCTGGGCCTTTACAGTACAATTCTGATTCTAGAAGCAGGTAGTTGAGTTTTCAGTGAAATGCGCATTCTTTATACCCAATGTGTTTCTCAAGGGGATGCAATGGCCTAGTGGTATTATCGGTGGACTGTTAATCCAGAGACCCAGGTAATCTCCTGGGGACCTGAGTTCAACTCCCACCATGGCAGATGGAGGAGTCTGAATTCAATAAATATCAGGATTTAAGAGTCCAATGATGATCAAGAATCTATTATCGATTGTTGGGGGAAAAACCCATCCGGTTCACTAACATCCTTTAGGGAAAGAAACGGCCATCCTCGCCTAGTCTGGCCTACATGTGATTCCAGATCCACAGCAATGCGGGTGACTCTTAACTGCCTACTGGGCAATTAGGGATAGGCAATAAATGCTGGCCTAGCCCGTAATGCCCTCATCCCACAAATGAATAAAATTAACATAATTTGCCAGACAACGTACCTTTTGTTCTGATACTTTTTTGATATTGTCTCTCTCCATGCATGCCTGACGATAAGCTTCAAATGCCCTGTTGAGTTGATCTCCAAGATTGTTTTTATCCATATTTACCAAATCAATACTACGAACACAATATCTGCAATATAAAAACATGCTGTCTATTAACACTTGCATATGCAGTTTCAACAGAACATTTTAAAGCTGTTAATTACTAGCCTCAAGTATCTGTAAGATGTTTATTTCACATATGCTGTTCAAGGACAGCAAAATCATGATATAAATATATGGGTGACAGTGAAATGCCACTTTTACTAAGTCAACAAAAACATATTAATATGGATTTGACATATTGTGGGCCTTAAAAGGAGGTTGTGTTAAACCCCTCATTGGTTTTTCATTACTTTTTTATTTTTATTTGTTTATCGATTTTGGTTTGGAGCTGCGAACTGGGACTTGTTAGTTGAAAATGACTTGTGGATTTTGAGACAGCTTGTGGTAAAAGGGGAAAAAAAAAACTGACCAAATAAGTTTTTTTGTTTATGAGGCCTGGCCTGGAGGATAATTGCAGGCTGAGTCTAGATTTAAAAAGTTCCAACAGTGACTCCGGGAAGAGCACTGTGTCTAAACAGATCGGAGAAGTTGGCTATTAACAAGGTCGGTACCTGGGAATTAGTTCTGGCAAGTCTGGAAAACACTCCATGTTGAAGCAGATGGCAGTTGTTGAATGGTAACCGAGGTCTTGGGAAGACATTCAGTCTATTAGGGCAGAACCTGAGTTGGAATTGCTAATTTTTAAAAAAGCTGTTTCTGGGAAAGACAGGTTCGGATGTTGATGAGATAGCTTAGACAGTAAAGTTTCAAATTTTTATGCCGTCTCATCAGCAGTTAAACCTGACAGACAGCTGAACCAAATCAGCTTTTCTATCTCTGTATTCACAATACATTAAAATTAAACCAGAGAACTTGCCAATAGTCACTCCAATGGTTTCCAATCAGACAGACAGACAAGCAAACACAGTTAAGGGATAAATAAAAAAAAATAACAAAATTGGCAAGATTACTTGTATGGCTTTCGTTAAAAATCACACGACACCAGGTTATAGTTTAATTGGGTTTAATTGAAAACACAAGCTTTCAGAGCCTCACTCCTTCTTCAGGTGTTAGTGAGAGAGGTTAGTATCAGACAAAGAATTTATAAGTAAAAGATCAAAGGTTCACACCACTGATGAGGATGTATCAAACAAACTTAACATGCTGTTAGATCTTTAATCAGTTAGAAGGTTTTGATTGATTAATATGTATAAGTAAATCCCCAAATTCCTTTTAAGTCACTGCCTGAGAGAACTGAAAGATTTTATCAGTGTAAAGAAGAGGTGACATTTTAGGTCAAACAATGCAGGTTCGGTGTGAGGCCTTGTTTAGGATCAGTTCGTGTTTTGGTTTGGAGCCAGATTGGTTTTATTCCTAAAGTAGGAATTTATAAAACGCCACATTGACTGACTGTCTATGAATTGTGTGCTTTTTGAACAAAATAAAATGAGTCTGCAAATATAAATTCACCCCATGTATCTGTGTGTGTGTAGGTGTGAGAGAGAGAATGTGAGTGTGAATGTGAGTATGAGTGTGAGACAGCGAGAGAGAAGAGAGGAGAGAGAGAGGGAGAGGGAAAGAGAGGTGGGGAAGACAAAGAGAGAGAGCGATACAGCATGAGAGGTGGGGAAAGAGAGAGAGAGCGCAAGAAGTGGGGGGAGTGAGAGCGCGTGAGAGGTGGGGGAGAAAGAGAGTGTGACTCTGAGAGAGAGAGACTGGGGGGCAGAGAGAGAAAGAGTGTGTGTGTGAGCTTTCAGGATGCGTTGTTTCACAGGCATACATATGGACTCAGTTTCTTTTCTGGAGCTACCAATCAGGGTCATCTTCTCAGTTCACCCAGGCAGAGGCAGCAATACTTCTCAGCTTTATAGTCTTTAGGCTTCAACAGGGTTTGCGGAGATGATCCTTTCACTCACCAGGACTTTTGGTCCTCCTGATTCTTTTCATTTCCTCGCAGGAGGTACAGAGCAACTAGTTCACAAATTATAAAGCCTCTGACTTGCTTGTTAAAAGCACCAGCTTACTGGTGAGAGAATATAACCAGGGGCTTTTTCCGGACTTCATGCGTGTCCTACTGCAAAAAGGTTCACCACCTCACTTTCCAGAATTTTGAAGACTTCTGGCAATATCGCTCACACTCACAAGTGAGTCAACTACTCAGGAACCAACCATATAATTGTCAGAGGAAGGTGGGCTTTCTTGTTCATAGGTGGTCACAACATGATCAATTTAACAGCTACTTGTTGCTGACCAAATCTCTCTTTGTACACACCCCTTCATGCCAGCCAACTTGCACCAACTTCTTGGGCTGGCTGAACAAAGCAGCAGGGTAAACACACTTACATTCGAGACAACAAGGTGCAGAGCTGGATGAACACAGCAGGTCAAGCAGCATCATAGGAGCAGAAAGGCTGACGTTTCGGGCCTAGACCCTTCATCAGAAATGGGGGAGGGGAAGGGGGTTCTGAAATAAATAGGGAGAGAAGGGGGCGGCAGATAGAAGATGGATAGAGGAGAGGATGGGTGGAGAGGAAACAGACAGGTCGAAGGGGCAGGGATGGAGCCAGTAAAGGTGAGTGTAGGTGGGGAGTTAGGGAGGGGATAGGTCAGTCCAGGGAGGACGGACAGGTCAAGGGGGCGGGACGAGGTTAGTAGGCAGGAGATGGGGGTGCGGCTTGAGGTGGGAGGAGGGGATGGGTGGGAGGAAGAACAGGTTAGGGAGGCGGGGACGAGCTGGGCTGGTTTTGGGATGCGGTAGGGGGAGGGGAGATTTTGAAGCTTGTGAAATCCACATGGGAACCCTGCAGCCCAATGGTATCAAAGTGGAATACGAGTTGCTGTTCCTGCAACCTTCGGGTGGCATCGTTGTGGCACTGCAGGAGGCCCAGGATGGACATGTCGTCTGAGGAATGGGAGGGGGAGTTGAAATGGTTCGCGACTGGGAGGTGCAGTTGTTTATTGCGAATCGAGCGTAGGTGTTCTGCAAAGAGGTCCCCGAGCCTCCGCTTGGTTTCCCTGATGTAGAGGAGGCCACAACGGGTACAGCGGATGCAGTATACCACATGTTCACGTGAACATCTGCTTGATGTGGAAAGTCTTCTTGGGGACTGAGATGGGGGTGAGGGAGGAGGTATGGGGGCAGGTGTAGCACTTCCTGCGGTTGCAGGGAAACGTGTCGGGTGTGGTGGGGCTGGAGGGGAGTGTGGAGCGGACAAGGGAGTCACGGAGAGAGTGGTCCCTCCGGAAAGCAGATAAGGGTGGGGAGGGAAAAATGTCTTTGGCGGTGGGGTCGGATTGCAGATGGCGGAAGTGTCGGAGGATGATGCGTTGGATCTGGAGGTTGGTGGGGTGGTACGTGAGGACGAGGGGGATTCTTTTTTGGTTCTTATTGCGTGGACGGTATGTGAGGGATGAGTTGCGGGAAATGTGGGAGACACGGTTGAGGGCGTTCTCGACCACTGAGGCGGGGGATGTTACGGTCCTTGAAAAACGAGGACAACTGAGATTAACGGGAGTGGAATGCCTCATCCTGGGAGCAGATGCGGCGGAGACGAAGGAATTGGGAATAAGGGATGGCATTTTTGCAGGAAGGTGGGTGGGAGGAGGAGTATTCTAGGTAGCTGTGGGAGTTGGTGGGCTTGAAATGGATATCGGTTTCTAGGTGGTTGCCCGAGATGGAGACAGAGCGGTCCAGGAAGGAGAGAGAGGTGTTAGAGATGGTCCAGGTGAACTTAAGGTTGGGGTGGAAGGTGATGGTGAAGTGGATGAACTGTTCGAGCTCCTTGTGGGAGCACGAGGCGGCGCCGATACAGTCATCAATGTAACGGAGGAAGAGGTGGGGTTTAGGGCCAGTGTAGGTACGGAAGAGGGATTGTTCCACATAATCTACAAAGAGGCAGGCGAAGCCTGGGCCCATGCGGGTACCCATGGCCACCCCCTTTGTCTGTAGGAAGTGGGAGGAATTGAAAGAGAAGTTGTTGAGGGTGAGGACCACTTACATTGGAGTAGCTTGATTTTAATAAGTGCAGCAATCCCTTCTACAATCCTTGGCTTTTAAAACAACTCTTTTCCCATTTCAGTCCACATCAAAAATATAGAAAACTAAAAAGGTAAGAACTTCACAATTGAAACGAATCAAAAACTACTCAATTACTTGCTGCAAGCCACTGATCAGTGACAAGAATCACCACTGAATCTTCAGCAAATTCTGTTAAAAATACAGGGAAATGACTTTAATATCTGCAATAGACCTGGTACAAAAATGGTCACTTCAGATGTACTGAGCAGGTTGCCAAACTTGAACACTTGATCTACAAGTAAAAAGCACTGGCATTGAGGTGGAAGATGTGCTCAAAAATCAACTTATTGCATTTTGGTCAGCAGAAATGCAACCAACTTCAAAAGCACCAAACTTCCCAGTTGTCAAATTGGTTAAAGAAAAATTCAAGTTTCCCTATGGCAGACACACCAAGAACCATATTCAGTCTGTTCAGTGACCCTCAAGGGTTATTTCTAATAATGGACAACAGTTTATAGGCTCACCTTTCAGGGATATTCGAAACAAATGGAGTGTGAACGAGGTAAAATTCTCACACATTACCTCGGATCAAATGGTCTTACCAACAGAACCATTAAATTACTCATCTTCAAGTGTGAGACAATGAAGCAAGATATTTATATTGCATTTCATTTATCAGAGCTACACCACTGGATAAGGGGTTACCATATAAAGTAAAGATCATGTTCAGGAGGCAAGTGAGAATGAATTACCAAGCTACCACTGATCCAAATTCTTAGAGTTGCAAGAAATATTTCTCGACAAATATGGGAACATGAAGATGCTGCATGACCTGTATGCCGGGGTGGAACTACCTTAATTACAAGTATGGCTAAAGGTCAGAATCACACACCCAGGTCTCATGAATTAAGACACTTAGCAGATTCAAACTGAGGAGGAACAGAAGCCAGCTAAAAGAAATGTATAATATATGTCAACTGCACAGTGAACTTGGAAAGAAAGATCACACCCAAGCAACAACAGTGTGA